CTCTGGAACACATTTAAAGCAGCGTCTAGATGGAAATTCATAGCACTAAATGCCCATAAGAGATGTGAAGAAAGATCTAAAACCCACATTCTAACATTACAATTAGAAGTACTAGAGGACCAAGATCAATAAATTCAAAAGCTAGCAGAAGACAAGAAATAAGTAACATCAGAGGAGAACTGAAGGAGATAGAGACACCCAAAAAACCCTTCAAAAATTAATAAATACAGAAGCTGGTTTTTTGAAAAGATCAACAAAATATATAAACTGCTAGCCAGACTAATAAAGAAGAAAAGAGAGAAGAATCAAATAGATGTAATAAAAAATGATAAAGGCAATATCACCATCAATCCCACAGAAATACAAACTAGAATCAGAGACTACTACAAACACCTATGCAAATAAACCAGTAAATCAAGAATAAATGGATAAATTCCTGGACACTTACACCCTCCCAAGATTAAACCAGGAAGACGGTGAATCCCTGAATACACCAATAATAAGGTCTGAAACTGAGGCAGCAATTAATAGCCTACCAACCAAAGAAAGTCCAGGACCAGACAGGTTCACAACTGAGTTCTACCAGAGGTACAAAGAGGAGCTGGTACCATTCCTTCTGAAACTATTCCAAACAATACAAAAAGAGGGAATATCCTCCCTAACTCATTTTAAGAGACCAACATCATCCTGATACCAAAACCTGGCAGAGACACAACTAAAGAAGAAAATTTCGGGCCAATATCCACGATAAACATTGATGTGAAAATCCTCAATGAAATACTGGCAAACTGAATGCAACAGCACATCAAAACTTATCCACGAAAATTGAGTCAGGTTCACCCCTGGGATGCAAGGCTTGTTCAATATATGCAAATGTATAAACGTAATCAGTCACATAAACAGAGCCAAAGACAAAAACCACGTGATTATCTGAATAGATGCAGAGAAGGCCTTTGACAAAATTCAACAGCTCTTTATTCTAAAAGCTCTCAGTAAACTAGGTATTGATGGAATGCATCTCAAAATAATAAGAGCTATTTATAACAAACCCACAACCAATGTCATACTGAATGGGCAAAAACTGGAAGCATTCCCTTTGAAAACTGGCACAAGACAAGGATGTTCTCTCTCACCACTTCTATTCAACATAGTTTTGGAAGTTTTGGTCACAGCAATTAGGCAAGAAAAAAAAATAAAGGTATTCAATTAGGAAAAGAGGAAGTCAAATTGTCTCTATTTGCAGATGACATAATTGTTTATTTAGAAGACCCTGTTGGCTCAGCCAAAAATCTCCTTAAGGTAATAGGCAACTTCAGAAAAGTTTCAGGATCCAAAATCAATGTGCAAAAATCACAAGCATGCCTATACACCAATAACAAACAAATAGAGAGCCAAATCATGAGTGAACTCCCATTAACAATTGCTACAAGAAGAATAAAATAACTGGAGTACAACTAACAAGGGATGTGAAGGTCCTCTTAAAGGAGAACTACAAACCACTGCTCAAGGAAATAAGAGAGGACACAACCAGAGAGAAAAAAACATTCCATGCTCATGGTTAGGAAGAATCAATATCATGAAAATGGCGATATTGCCCAAAGTAATTTATAGATTCAATGATAGCCCCATCAAGCTACCATTGACTTTCTTTACACAATTGGAAAAAACCAGCTTAAACTTCATATGGAATGAAGAAAGAGCCCATGTAACCAAAATAATCCTAAGCAAAAAACAAACAAACAAACAACAACAACAAAAACCCACAAAGCTAAAGGCATCACGCTACCTGACTTCAAACTATACCACAAGGCTACAGTAACCAAAACAGCATGGTACTGGTATCAAAAAAGAAACATAGACCAATAGAACAGAACAAAGGCCTCAGAATTAATGCCACACATCTACAATTACAACCATCTGATCTTTGAGAAAATAAGGAAATGGGGAATGGATTCTCTATTTAATAAATGGTGTTGGGAAAACTGGATAGCCAGATGCAGAAAGCTGAAACTGGATCCCTTCCTTACACCCTGTACAAAAATTAACTCCAGATGGATTAAAGATTTAAACATAAGACCTAACACTATAAAAACCCTAAAAGAAAACCTAGGAAATACAATTCAGGACATAGGTATAGGCAAGTCTCCCTGAATAAAACACCAAAAGCAATGTCAACAAAAGCCAAAATAGACAAATGGGATCTAATTAAAAGCTTCTTCATAGCAAAATAAACTGTCATTAGAGTGAACCAGAAACCAAAAGGATGGGAAAAAATTTTTGCAATCTACCCATCTGACAAAGGGCTAATATCCAGAATCTTCAAAGAACTTAAAAAAAATTTACAAGAAAAAAACAACCCCATCAAAAGGTGGACAAAGGATATGAACACTTTTCAAAAGAAGACATTTATGCTTCCAACAAACATATGAAAAAAAGCTCATCATCACTGTTCATTAGAGAAATGCAAATCAAAACCACATTGAGATACCATCTCATGCCAGATAGAATGGTGATCATTAAAAAATCAGGAGACTAACAGATGCTGGAGAGGATGTCAGAAAAAAGAACACTTTTACACAGTTGATGGGAGTGGAAATTAGTTAAACCATTGTGGAAGACAGTGTGATGATTCCTCAAGGATTTAGAACTAGAAATACCATTTGATCCAGCAATTCCATTTCTGGGTAAATACCCAAAGGATTAGAAATCATTCTATTATAAAGACACATGCACACATATGTTTATTATGGCACTGTTTACAATAGCACAGACTTGGTGTCAATCCAAATGTCCATCAATGATAGGCTGGATAAAGAAAATATGGTACATATACACCATGGTATACTATGCAGCCATAACAAAGGATGAGTTCATGTCCTTTGCAGGGACATGAATGAAGCTGAAAACCATCATTCTCAGCTACTTAACAGAAGAACAGAAAACCAAACACCACATGTTCTCACTCATAAGTGGGTATTGAACAATGAGAACACATGGACACAGGGAGGGGAACATCACACACCGGGGCCTGTCATGGGGTGAGGGGCTAGAGGAGGGATAGCAAGTGGTGGGGGGATTGGGGAAGTATAGCATTAGGAGAAATACCTTACATAGCTGACTGGGGGGATGGATGCAGCAAACCACCATGGCACATATATACCTATGTAACAAACCTGCATGTACTGCATACGTACCCCAGAACTTAAAGACTAATAATAAAAAAAAGATATACCAAAAGGAAATATAATAAATTATAGCCTTCTGGGAAAAATTGCATTGTAATTGCATGTAATTATTTCAACTCAGGTTGATTTTGTTCACCCTGTCATATTAGAGATATGAAATCTGAGGCGCACAGGATTACACAATTTTTTGGCAACTTCAGATTTTGCCTTTTCCCTTTTCACATATATACAATAATGGATTGCTTGCGAATCATGTTAGGTAGAGCTTTTCTGGTTGATGATAGTGTTGCTCCAGTTACTGATATTGGTGCATATTAAGCATCCTCAGAAGTGCTTTTTTCTTCCAATGTTTCACTAAGACTTCTCAGTAGGGGGCATCTATCTTAAAATCTAGCTTCTTTTTAGTTTCTGTAGAAGATCTGTTTTGAGTCATCACAATAGAGTATTTGCTGTCCTATTAATATGCCTAAACTAGTCAGTTCTTTAATCTAGTTTTAAAGTTCAGTTAGAGGAACTGTTGTAATTTCTCCTGTTTACCAGCTGATCCTCTCTTGCTAAGCCACATACAATCTGCAGGAAGAAAAAATTGTGCTGTGCACAATAGTATCCACAAATCAGTACTACCTACCATATTATGCTTCAGGAAATACAAAGGTATACTCTGTTCATATGGAAGATTACAGATTTCTATGATATTATTCCTGAGAATACATATTTAAAAGTTGTAAGAATTAAAGAAAAAAACTACATTATGTTTAACTAAGCCCAATTCTTATACAAATTGAATTTTTATTTCTGTAACTCCTTCTCTCCTAATAATAGAGAAATACTTTGAACTTTTACAAAAATCTAAATGCTTTAATCATCAGGTAACATCAGAAAACTCATTTTTATGATACACACACCCAATGCAGAACTACATGTACAGTTGCAGAGTTGAATGGGTTATACAATGCACAGCTCCAGGATATGTCATTCTCATTAGAGTCCATGAAAACGTTATCATTTTCTGTTGGACAGCACGCGACAAGTAAGTAGGATACATTGGCCCTGTGAAACACATATATGAGCAGAAAAGGAAAAAACACAGACGAATCTTATCTTTGTTCAGAATTGACACAACTTCATGACACACCTTTTAAGTTAGTTTAAGTCAGTTTAAACATCAGTTTTCATGGTTAAATTCAGGTTTAATTAGAAAATCCATTCCCAACCAGGACAAGTAGACTTGACAGTTCTACTTCTGTGTTTTGTTGCTGGATAAGCAGTTTCTTTCATGTAAGACTGCTGAATGGCTAGAGCTGTAAAGTAGTATAAAGAAAAATACTGACCTTCTCACCCCGGTTATATTCAGTCTTATTCAAACTGCATGTGATTGGAAAATGACCACATTTGGAGGAAGAATAAAATATTTAAAGGCAACAGGGACTGTTTTAATATTTTTTCAATTTGAAACAAACCACTACAACATAGGATTGTTACTACACATACATCCAAATAGACACATTGCAAAGTATTTTATTCAATAATAATACATGTACACTCACATAGAGCAGGAATATAAGTAAATATTTACCTCCTACTCAGAGCTCTAAGGAGCAACAAAAACAAAAAGCTAAAATATGTTCCTTTGATGCAAAATGGAGAAAAGAAAAACCCTTAGGGAAAGATTAAAATAGCCTTAAAAATATTAATGGTGTTTGAAGGTAACAACAATGAAGTTTTAAAGTTCATTTGTATTTTTGTTCTGTTAGCCTCTGTTTCCTTAAGTGCTAATCAGATCAATAATCTCCTGGGAGGTTGGCAGTACAGTGCTTATCCTACTTTGCTAAACATTTCATTAAACAAAACCTCAAGAAGTACTGAAAAACCAAACAATACCTAAACCCAAAATAAATAAATGAATAAATAAGCACACACAGATACATCTCTACAAGAAGAAAAATGAGGATTCATGATCGTATTTCAGAAGACAAACAACTGGATGTTGTTTTGTAGCAAAAAAATGTCGTGCAGGGAGTCAGAAGTAGTTTTCCATTCTGTTTCTGGTGTCAACTACCTCTCTGACACCAGCAAATAGTTTAGTGTACCTCTACTTCCATTTCCTCATCTGAAAAATGAGGTAAAATATTTTCTTCACTTGTAAAGTTGTTTAAAGAACTAAACTCATAACAGAATGGAAGTTGTTGGCATAATTAGGTATTAACTACTGGTTGCTTTTGACAGCATTAATATAAAAGTTTTGATGAATACTAAAGAATAGAAGATATGCAGTAGTTTCTTAAAAATAAGGCATTCATCCACATCTGTACTTAGCCAAATCTGTATTTTTCACCCTGAAATATCTTTTTTCTGACTGCTTAACAAACCAAATGTCTTTGCCTCCTCAAAACATAATTCCAGACTAATTTTCTTTGTGATATCTGTCCAGATTAAACACTATATATCAAACTATTATGGAAACATACCTAGAAGTTACATGCTGAGATAATTTTTAAAATGTAGCCCAAATCAATGTTGAAAAGAGGTAAGATAGAATAATAAAGAAAAAAATACAAAATTAATAAGAGGGTTTGTGAATACTTGGAAGAGAGAATTTTAGCTACTCAAAACCATCATTGTTTCATTAAGTGATATTAGATCAATCTAATCCCATATCCATTTTGATGGCCTAATTGTATTTGTAGATCATAAATGTGACAAATGTTGTTATATTTTTATTTCAGTAAGATATTCAATAAATTTTCCTGTGTAATCTTTATCGCAAGGTTAATAAACATTGGCTAGCAGCTTACAATGGCAGGGGACCTCCCAAGTAGGTGCTCTTTATGGTTTTATGCTTTAGTTACTATACTTATTAACATGGTTGGGAACATAGAAAATGTGCTAATCAAATGTGCAAATAATACTGGGGCAGTAGCCAGTGTACTAAATAACATAATTGTACCTTTTTTAATTAATTATTTTTATTTTTAATTTCTGTGAGTGCATAGTAGGTATATATTTTGTGGGTTACAAGAGAGATTTTGATACAGGCATGCAATGTGTAATAATCACATGAGGGTAAATAGGGTATCCATTATCTCAAGAATTTATCCTTTGTGTTACAAACTGTCCAATTATACTTTTATTTAACAATGCATAAACAAATTATTTTTTAACTATAGTCACCCCTTTCTGCTAGCAAATACTAGGTCTTATTCATTCTTTCTAACAATTGATAAATGACTGAATGGTAGTTGTGGACTCTGAAGGCATTGGAGATGTTTTGTTAACACAGGTGCCATGCCACCTGCCAGAGCATTGGCCTCAGAGGCCTCTGGTTCCTAATCCATATGTCTGCAGGGCAAAGAGCAAATCAGATTGAAAAGGTGGAGGAGGTCTACTTGTTTTCTTTTTTTGTACCCAATAACCGTCCTCATTCCCCACCCCCAACTCACTGCTCTCTCTAGCTTCTAGTAACCATCCTTCCGCTTTGTACCTCCATGAATTCAATTGTTAAAATTTTTAGGTCCCAGAAATATGTGAGAAAATGTGAAGCTTGTCTTTTTGTGCCTGCCTTATTTCATTTAACCTAATAATCTCCAGTTCCATCCATGCTGTAAATGACAGGATCTCATTCCCTTTTTATGGCTGAATAGTACTCCATGCTGTATAGGTGCCACATGTTCTTTATCCACTCATCTGTTGATGGACACTTAAGCTGCTTCCAAATCTTGGCTATTGTAAGTAGTGTTGTAATAAACACAGGCGTGCAGATATCTCTTTAGTAAACTGATTTCTTTTCCTTTGAGTATATATCTAGGAGTAGAATTACTGGAGATTATTGCAGAATATGGTAGCTTTAATTTTAGTTTTTTAAGGAGCCTCCAGACTGTTCTCCATTGTGGTTCTACAAATATACATTCCTACCAATAGTGTATAAGCATTCCTTTTTCTCCACATTTTTGCCAGCATCTGTTATTGCCTGTCTTTTGGATAAAGGGAATTTTAACTGGTGAGATGATATCTTATTGTAGTTTTGATTTGCATTTCTCTGATGATCAGTGGTATTGAGCACATTTTCATATACCTGTTTGTCATTTGTATGTCTTCTTTAGAGAAGTGTCTATTCAGATATTTTGCCCATTTTTAAAATCAAGTAGTTTTTTTCCATTGAGTTGAATTCTTTACATATTCTGGTTATTAATCTTTTGTCAGATACATAAATTGCCAAAACTTTCTCCCATTCTGTAGGTTGTTTTGCCACTTTGTTGATTACTTCCTTTTCTCTGCAGAAGCTTTTTAACTTGATATGATTCCATTTGTCCATTTTTGCTTGGAATGCCTGTGCTTGTTGAATATTACTCAAGAAATCTTTGACATCTCCAATATCCTGGGGTGTTTCTCCAATGTTTTCTTTCAGTTTTATGGCTTGAGGTCTTAGATGTAAGTGTGTAATATATTTTGATTGTATTTTTGTATATGGCAAAAGATAGGAGTCTAGCTTCATTCTTTGGCATATGAATATTCAGATTTCCCTGCACCATTGATTGAAGAGACTGTCCTTTCTCCAATATATGCTCTTCACACCTTTGTTAAAAATGAGTTCACTATAGATGTATGGATTTATTTTTATGTTCTACATTCTTTTCTGTTTTTATGCCGGTACCATGCGGTCATAGTTACTATAGCTCTGTAGAATAATTTGAAGTCAGATAATGTGATTATTCCAGTGTTGTTCAGTGTAATATTGGCCTCCTAAAATGAGTTTGGCAGTATTTCCTCCTCTGCTATTTTTTGGATCAGTTTGAGTAGGATTGGTATTAATTTTTCTTTAAATGTTTGGTAGAACTCAGCAGTGATGTTATTGGGCCCCACACTTTTCTTTGCTGGGAAACTTTTTATTGTGGCTTTAATGTTGTCACTTGTTACTGATCTGTTCAATAGCAAGCAACAACTTAAAGCCGTAATAAAAAGTTCTGGTTTGGGGGTTCCTTGTAGTTCAATCTTGGTAGGCTGTATGTGTCTAGGAATTTATACATATTTTTTCTAAATTTTTCCAATTTATTGGGACAAAGTTGATCATAGTAGCCACTAAGGATGCCTTTAGTTTCTGTGCTATCACTTGCAATGCCTCTTTTTTCATCTCTTAATTTATTTATTTAGGTCTTCTCTCTTTTTTGCTTAGTCGGGCTAATGCTTTGTCAGCTTTGTTTAATTTTCCAACAAAACAACTTTTTGTTTGGTTGACCCATTGTACTGTTTTCTTTATTTCAATTTCATTTGTTTCTCCTGTGATAGTAATTTCTTTTCTTCAATTCATTTTGGGTTTCGTTTGCTCTTGCTTTTCTAGTTTTTTAAGATGCATCATTGTTCATTTGGAGTTTTTCTTCTGTCTTAATATAGGTGCCATAGCTATAAACTTCCCTTTTAGTACTGCTTTCACTATACCTCACAGATTTTGATATGTTGTGTTTCCATGGTTCATTGTTTCAAGAAATTTTTCCATTTTTTTCTTTTTTCATTGAACTGCTCATCATTCAGGACCATACTGTTTAACATCCATTTGTTTGTATAGTTTCCAAAATTCCTCTTATTATTCCTCTAGTTATATTTCATTGTGTTCAGATAAAATGCTTGCTATTATTTTGTTTTTGTTTTTGTTTTTTTCGAAATGTTTTCTGCCTTGTTGGGTGTCCTAACACATTGTCTATTCTTAAGAATGATCCATGTGCTGAGGTGAAGAATGTACATTCTGCAGTCATTGGACAAAATGCTTTGTAAATATCTGTTAGGTCCATTTGGTCTATAGAGCAGATTACATCCAATGTTTCTTTGTGGATTTTTCCTCTGGAAGATCTATCCGTCCAATGCTGAAAGTGGGGTGAAGTCTCCAGCTATTATTGTATTGGGATCTATCTCTCTCTTTAGCTCTAATAATATTTGCTATTTTGAATTCTCTGTCTAAAAGGTCCTATATCTCTGTCTCTCCAGGATTGGTCCCCAGTGCCTTATTTAGTTCATTTGGTGAAGTCATGATTTCCTGGATGTTCTCAATGCTTGTTCATGTTCATTGGTCTCAGGGCATTGACGAGGTGGGTGTTTATTTTAGTCTTCATAGTCTGGGCTTGTTTGTACCATCCTTCTTGGGAAGGCTTTCCAGGTATTCAAAAGCAATTGGGTATTGTAAGCTAAGCCATATCTGCATTAGAGCACATCTAAAGCCCAGTAATGCTGTAGTTGTTGGTGACTTGTAGAGGTACCACCTTAGTGATCTCGGAAAAGATCCACAAGAATTCTGTGGATTACCAGCCAGAGACTCTCATTCCTCTCCCTTACTTTCTTCCAAACAAAAGAGCCTCTCTGTCTTTGTTAAGCTGCCTGGAGCTGGGGATGGCATGACATAAGCACCTCCGTGACCCCCACTAATGGGACTTCTGTGAGTCCAGCCTGAAGCCAGCATAGCACTGGGTCTCACCCAAGGCCCACTGTAACCACTGCCTGGCTACCATTTATGTTCAAGGCCTCAGGGCTCTACAATCAGTGGTTGGAAAAGCTAGCTACGCTTACGTCCTTCCCTTTACAGTGGCGAATTTCCCCATACCCCAAGTGGGTCTTTCCAGGAGCCAGGGACTAAAGTGAAAAATATGAGAAGTCTACCTTGTACTTTACTTTACTGTAGCTGAGCTGGCCCTTAAACTATGAGATGCAATCCTCTACTCTTCCCTCCCCTTTCCACAGGCAGAGGAGCCTTAACCCATGGCCACCACCACCACAGGTCCATAAGGAGTATTGCCAGGCTACTGAGGTTCACTTCAGGTGCAAGACCTCTTCAGCCAGTTTGTGGTAAATGCTGCCATGTCTGGCACTCTCTCTTCAGGGCAGTGGACTTCCTTCTGGCCCAGGTCAGGTCCAGTAATGCCATCCAAGAATCAAGGCCTGGAACTGGTGACTCTAAAAGCCCAGGTGGTGCCCTCCCAACTGTGGCTAATTTAGTAGCTAATGTGCAAGGCAAAGACTGCTTTATTTTTCTTCAGCTTTTCTCAAGCAGAAGAAGTCTCTCACTATAGCCACCACAGCTGGGAATAGGCTGAGTCTCACCCAAGACCCATGGCATACTACTTGGATATAGCTGCTGGTTATTCAAGGCCCAAGGGCTCTTTTAGTCAGCAGGTGTTGTATTTTGCTGGGTCCTTTCCTTTATGGCAGCAGGTTCCCTTCTGGCCCAGGATGTGTCTAGAAATATTTTCTGAAAGGTAGGACCTAGAATGTGGCCTCATGACTCTGCCCGTTGCCCAATCCTACTGTGCCTGAGCTGTTATCCAAGATGCAAGACAAAATCCTCTTTACTCTTCCCTCTTCTCTCCTCAAGAGGAAGGAAGGGTTGTTTTTTGGAGTGAGAGCTGTGTTGACTGGGGTTGGGGGAGGGATATCACAAGCACTGCCTTAGTCACCCTTGCTTGTGTCTCAGTAGGTAGCATGCTCCCAAGTCCACTGGCTCCAAGCCCATTTCAGCACTAGGACATGTCCAGGAGTTGTAGTCTTTGTGGCCTAGACTGCTTTTCAAGTTTATTTAAGGTCCTGGAGCACTTTAGCCAACAGTGGTGGGGCTTGCTGGAACTCATATTCAGACTGCTGAGATGGGTGGTTCCCCTCTGGCTAGGGCTCATCTAAATGGTCCCTATATGGATGGGTGATGGCTGAGTTCAGCCCAGTTTTGCTTTCAGCTGTGACAGGGCAGCACTGAGTTCAATGCAGTGTCTCACAATCGCTGTACTCTCCCTCTCCCTAGCACACAGATTCTTTCTCCATGCCACATAGCTTTTGCTGGGAGATGATGGGAGAGGGGTGGAATCCTGAATTCAAGAAAGTCTTTTCTAACCTCTTCAATGCTGCTTTCAGACACATGAAGTTAAAACCAGGTACTGTGAATGCACACCTGATTTTTGGTTTCTTTGCCAAAAACAACACTTTCATAAGACTTAGATAGTTGTTAAATTTGGTGTTCTGTCCAGTGGCATGGGATAGGCCAACTTGCTCTCCCCTATGTTGAATTATAATGTTTAAAAATGCCAATAAACTAAATTTAAAAGCCAAAATAAGATTAAATGTCATATTAATACCCTTATGGTATTAAGTGATATTACCTATGTGTTATTAATCTCCTTAAAATGTGGCTGCCAAAATACATATAGACCCAACTGATATTCCTCTAATGCCTGCAAATAACAATGACTCTCGCTGCATCAGAGTTTGCTTAAAAGCACAAAAAATAGTTTTTGATGAGCATCCTTTATGTTAAAAAAAATCCCAAAAAGCCAAAGGTTTGTAAAAGTCTATCCCAAGGAAGGAAAACCTCTTCCCTTTATTTGTTCTTGGCACAGCTGAGTCAGGCTAGAACACTGCAAAAGATTTCACTAAATAGTAAGTGGAACCAAACTGACTGGAGAGATATTCTTTCAAAAACCACATAAACAGAAGCCTTAAGATCAATTACCACAAGTTGATATGGGGTCAAAGAAAAACAACATTCTAAATCCAGAATCCACTTACACAAAGCTCTTTAGCTGCATTATATATTAAATTGAAATGTTAAAACCAGTCTAAAAGCCCAGCTCTACAAATTGAGCAAAAAAAATGCTTTATTCAATTTAATATGTTGTAGTAGATAAAATGGATGTTTTGGAAGATTATGTAAGAAAATGAAAAATGCTCAGGTAGCAATATTAATTGGGGTAGTAAACTGTATATGTGACTATGATTACAACTCTGCAAATATGTGATCTTTTAAAAGAAGCTTTCTAGCATGACATGCACCTGTAGTCCTAGCTACTCAGGAGGTAGAGGCAGGAGGACTGGTTGAGCCCAGGACTTTGAAGCTGCAGTGTGCTATGATCTCCCCCCGTACTGTGTGACACAGCAGGACTCTAAATAAAGAAATAAATTTAATTAGATTAAATGAGCCTTCTAAAATTATTTTAAAGGTAATATTACAAGTCCTTCATAACATTGTGTTTTGGTAATAGGCAAGGAGTGATTTATTTCTTCATTTTGCTTTTATGAATGTTCTAAATTCTCTTTAATAATTAGATAACAACTCAGATTTATTAATAACTATTACATGTATGGTATTTGTCGCTCTTCTTGCCTCATCTTATTTAATGCATGGCAAAGAGATCGTGAAACAGTTACTTCTATTATCCATTTTTATAGATGAAGATATGGAGACGCATGAAACAGTCTAGATTAATGGCTGAGAAATCCCTAGTTGTGAATTCTTTGTCGTGTGCCTATGATTCTAAATGTGGCTATTTACTTATAAGGTCCAATTTCTTAATCATCCTAAACTACAAAAGGATGCACAACATGATCCAGTTTACAAGTTAAACAATTTGATTATGCCAAAGCTAATTTATAATCTTAATGTCCATATGCCCCACATTTTATAGGCTGAGATAACTAGCAACTTATCGCCAAGTTACTGGTACAATTCTAGCAGTGTGACCTTGGATAAATTATATAATATCAATGAGTAGTAATTCTCTACCTGAAAATAGGAATAACATTTATTTTATAGAATTTTTGTGATGATTAGAAATCATACATATAAAAGGCTTAGATTAATGACTAAAGCATTCATCTTCATTGTTGTTGTTAAGTTTTATGGGAAAATTTATTCTAATTCTAAATATATTTTCTAGCACAAGTTTTCCAATTTAATTGTTCCTCTATTGTAGGAAATAGATGGAAGATAATAAGTGTAGTTTCTTCCTCTAGGCAGGCACTAATTTATCAGTCCTTATGTGGCACCAAATCTGAACACAGCCAGATATAGATGGTCTGTGATAGAAGAAACCAGATGGTCTCACTGACCTCACCCCAGGTACTGTGCTTTTGATATTATTCTAGAATGTGGTCTTTATAATTTGGTTTCTGTAGCATCCCAGGGACAAGTTCACATGTGCTGGTGTGAGTTTCATTTTGCATGTGCTGCTTTATCATGAACATGGAAGACATACTAGGTTTCTGTAGTAGAAACACTCCAGCCTCTTCCAAAGCAGAAGGCCCTGGGCTGTGGACCTTCAAAGAGAAGCAAACATACAGAGCTTTTAACAGCTCTGACTTCTGGGAATGGAACACATTGCTGAAATCACTTCTGCCCTGATCCAACAATTCATTATCTCCCAGAAACAGTGGCTTTTATAGCTGCTATGGGGTTGCTATAGTCTTCTAGAAAGAAGGAATAATCTCATTACAGACATGAATGCTCAAGCCCTTATATTAAAAGCTTTAGACTTAATTTTATTTGTCTAAATCTGTAATCAATCTAAGAGTGGGATGGAGATATTTTTATAAAACAAATTTAGAAAAGAGCTAATTTTATTTTATACAAAACAAAATTGGCCCTTTATAATAAACTCCCCAAATAGTCCAAAGAATGAATTATATTTTTATTTCCTCATTACACAGCTGGGAAATTATTGAAATGAACATGAAAATCTTGATTTCAATTCATACTTGATATGTAAAACAAGACCTTGTAAACTTCTAACATTTTCCAATGTATAAGTCTGTAATAATTTACTAAGGACACCCTATTGCCCTTAGAATTATTTTGAATCTCTTTATTGATGTAATCAGATTAATTTAACAATGAAAATTAGTCCCAACTTTAGAGATGGAATCAACACAAGTCAAGAGTATTGTCTGATTTGCCTGAGGCCTATTTTCACCCATGGAATAAATGGCACCATTGGTGGTTATTGAGTAGGTAAATAACTACAGGTCATATCTGAATCTAATGATAGGAGTAATTTCATCAAACCTAAACTTGAATGATAGCATTCCACAGAAATGGGGAGCTAGAAAAAAGTTAAGTACCTTGATTTGTAAGACATATGTATATACTCAATTAGTGTCTACACAGGGCAATTTTATTTAGAACAGTGGGGTAAGGGGAGAAGGGATGAGAGGATACCACGGAGAATAGAACTAAGTCAGATTAAAGGAGAATGGAGTCTATGAAAAGATCTCTAGTCAGTGTGTGAGAGTGAGTGTGTGTGTGTGTGTGTGTGTGTGTGTGTGTGTGTATGTATGTAACAGGGAAATGGTTACCTAACTCAGGCACTGAATTATGAACCTTGTGTGAGGTAAGGTTTTACTTGTGGTAAAATACCCTGGGAATTGAAGGTGAGACACCCATCACTCTCTGAACCAGGAAGCAGCTAGGGGATGCCTTTCCCTGCCATAAAAGTATGAAATGGAGCTTCTGTGCAACACCAGGATCTTGAACTACTGAACAGAAGGAAGCTTAGCATTGGCAAACTAAAGACCAATTTAGCAAGTCAATAGCCAGTGAGTGCTCAGTGAGGCATGATAATGCCTTTATAGTATTTAGTGATTCTGAGGAGCAGCTATACATGTCTGGTATATTTCTCAGTAGAGATACATAGTGTTAATAACCAATTTCCAGAGTAAGGCACCATCTCTTTCACAGAATTTCCAAAAGTATAACAACTTGACGACGTCTTCATTGAGAACTTTTTTTCTATAACTGGTATTCATACTCAGGCCAAAGGAAAGATACCCCAGCTCCACCTGCGATGACAATTGCCCTTCTATTTCTAGAAAGATGATTTTGATCAAAACTAAGTTTCATGTAACATCAGAAATCTTTGTACTTTCAAACTATTTCTCATTCTCTGACTGAAACTGGATATTAATTTCCAATCCAAATTATATAGCTTCTTCCCTCTGAAACCAAAAGGAAAAGAAAATAAACTGTCATCTCTTCTTGTCCTTGGACTCCACCACTGGTCATTTCTTCGAGCCTTTCAAGCATTAGTCAATATTTTATTAACGTATTCACATTTCAAAAGAAGAAGAAGAAAAAAAGAAAACCTGCATGCATTCTCAAAACACCATACGTTTCCTCTTTTCCTATTTGATTATAATGAATAAAGCAATGAGTCTGTCAGATAAACATGATTATAATAGTTTTTTATTAAAACAGTGAAGATTTTAAAATTATGTTGTGTGATGGCATCCAAAATGAGAATAATGTTAGGAATTTTAAGATTCTCCTTTTTTCCATATTCTTTATAGAAAATATAAAAGAAAAATCAGTGTCATTGAAAGATTTTCATTAGAAAGACAGAAGTCATGGATTATAATAAAAATAGATTTATTGAGCTAAAAATAGTGAGTAGGCAGCATTTTCAAAATTTTAAATGAATTCCATGATAAAATATTTACAGTATGTATTTTCTTTCTCTGGGAATTATTACATTTTAGTATATTCATTAACCTCAAGATTATTCACCAGTTATTAAAATTTTAAACATTTAAGTAGATATATAGAAGCGACACTACTAACTTTCCCTTTCTACAGAGAAAAACACTTTATTTGTTTTTGGCTTTCTATTTAATAGAATAGAGGATATACTGGAGGAAACAGCTAACAAAGCACATCAGGAAGTAAACTCAATATACTTGCCTTTGGGTTCCTTTCTTTAGAAATTAAATCTACAGAGGTATTGGTGAATGTATTCTACAGTTATTGTTTGAATTTGTAGCATTTAAAATTTTCAGATAAAAAAGCCAACTCCAGAAAATACAACTTAATAACTATGTTTAAAATATTAAAAATAAAATTTAAAAACAGTGCTATGTATTCATCTTTAAGATCTTTTTGACTCAATGAAGTCAGAATATGTTGAATACCAAAATAAATGTGTTGCAACAAAAATTTCACCAACCCCAGGAAGGTATATAGAATATCTCTAAGGCCTGGTGGTTGTGAGTGACAGCTGTGTTAATTGGAAATCTGCTTCATAAACTAGTAAACAGAGCAAACTAGTTATTGCAGAACTGAAATCTAACTAGATCACCAGAAGGATTCTCTGTCTTTGTCCCCACCTCACTACAAGGCATTTTCATGGTCAATTACTGCTGAACAGACTATCCAGAAGAGGAAAATGCATCAGCAATCTATTTATTCAAACCTCATCTCAAAAACAAACATAAATAATTTAAGAAGAGAAAAAGGGTTTAAATGTGTGCTAGCAAGCATCTAAGCATAGTAATTTCATAGCCTTGAAAATTAAGAATGTAATGGTTTCATATTTTCACATCAAGCATTACTGATTTTTTTTTTATTTAAAGAGCAGTTTCTTGTGTGCGCTTTTAAATTGTTCCAAATTAACTTTTATATTTAGAACATGGTCATCTTTGTTCCAACATTTTCAAATTCCACAATAAACAGTAATCTTTGTAACTGATTAAAATGGGCTTTATAAATTTGGAAAAAGCTAAATTACAGATTATGACTTTTCCCCAGTATATATTAATCTCATTGAAAATGAAATTTAGCTGGTATTTTATATGTAATAGAGGAATATAATTTGTTTTTATATTAGTACTAGTCTTGACCTAAGTATTTACAAATCAATACTAATTTTATGTTTAATGGCATCTATAAATGTCTTTATGCAGGAAGTTTAATTTTTGTGCTGTAGTTACAAATGCATTTTTAAGTACACAGAGAATTTTAAAAGGGCAGAAGAGAATTTAAAGGTGTTATTTACATAAATGTAAAAGCCCTTAATGTGGAGAAATCTCTCATCCAAAATTTCAAATACTTGCTTGACTCTGGAGGCCTGGCACAATAAGGAATTAGGATTCCTCCTAAGAACTACACATCCAAAGGCTGTCCTGAAAGACTTTCAGTACTTGATGATGCTCTTTTGGGTACCACCACCTAGATGCCCATTTAGGTTGCTCTCTTCCCCACTATCTACTATCCCCTGTGGTCTCTTTTCGGCTCTGCCCAAACTAGTGGTTCTCAAAGAAAGGTAGCCATGGATTGAAATGACTTGGGTAGCTTTTAAGAACTCATTGTCCAGATCATACTTCAAATAAATCAAAATCTTGGGGCTGTGTGTGTGTGTGTGTGTGTGTGTGTTTATAGTTGTGGTGATGGTAAGGAGGGTGGTGAGGTGAAGAGGGTCAACTATCAGTACTTAAAAAATATCCAGCCTGGGCAACATGGAGAAACCTTGTCTCTAAGAAAGCACAAAAAATTAGCTGGGTGTTGTGGTGCAAGCCTGTGTTCCCAGCTACTTGCTTGGGTGGCTGAGGTGGGAGGATCATTTGAGCCTGGAGGTTGAGGCGGCAATGAGTTGTGATCATGCCACTGGACTCCAGCCTGAGTGATAGACTGAATCCCTGTCTCAGAAAAAAATTATATATATCCCAGATGATTCCCATGTGCAGCCAAAGTTCAGCATCACAACCCCAGACATTCCATTCTCCTTTGTATTTATTTCTCCTTTTCCAATTATATTTTCCACCAAATCTATAACCTGCTTCATGTTCTCATCTGTAACCACATGTGCCCACAAATTTTTGCCTAAAGGCTCGTGCTGTCCATTCCTGAAAGTATGTAGATTAGGCCTGGCTGGCCATTGCCCATTAGGCCCATAAGAACAGCTGACTTCCTTCTCACTAGTTCTATTTTCTTTGGACCAATGGAAAGCTATAGCCTGGTAACTTGCTTCTTTTCACCATTGCCCTCTCCAGCCATTTCACACACAGTAGCCGGGTTAGCATTTTTGTATGAAAACAAGATCAAGTCACTTTCCTATTGAAACCTCTCCACTGACTTTCCACTAATATCTCAATGCAACAGCACTGCACAGGATACTTTTATCTACTGGCTAAAGTTGTCCCTCAGTGCAATTACACAGCGTAAAATCACCCTATTTTATTTTCTTCGTAGTACTTATCCCTAAATAAATATTTTTTTACTCATCTCACTTGGGATTTTTTCAGTCTCATCAATAGAATTTCAGGTACCATGTCCATCTCATTTATCTTGTAACGCTAATACCCAGGAGTGTACATGCACAGAATAGATACTTTAACTGGTATTTATCAAATGCAAGAAGTCACTGTGATTTCTGACTTCCCAACATCATGTCATAGCTATCTAGCTGTAGCTGCGCTAGCAGGCCCTGTACTCCTGAAACCACAGTTATCTGTGGGACATCAGAGAATATGTTCAGAATTCTGTTTCTCATTCTTATCCATGAATGCAAAATAAGAA